TTATGTAAGCAATCTTGGAGCGATCTGTGGGAAAACTTGAGGGCTGGAGCTCGGAGATCAGGGAGCATTGGGTGAGGAAACCCTGGCAGGAACTAGGATCCCCAGCAAAGGGCTTGGGAGGTGGTAATCGAGGCTCTGCAACTGAAGTAGGCCTGTTGCCACTTGGGGGTGAAGCAGCAGGAGGTGAAGCGCCCGGGAGCCTTTCAAAGAGCTGGAGGATGGAACCCATCACATCGGCCAGGAGTTGAGAGTGTTTGGTCATTAGCTCCTTCTGATGGCTGAGAACAGCTGGAAAGATGACTCGTGCTGGGCAATCACTGCCAACAGGTCCTTTGAGGTGAGTGTTTCTGGGTCCATAGCTGACTCGGTTTTTCTGTCACGCGCCGGGCTTGAACTCGGGTCTCTGGCATGGTAGTTGAGAGATCTACCACTAATCCACGGGAGTGGTAATGTTAGACCCAAACGAAACACTTGAGGCAGTTTCCCAGGAAACGTAGATTTATTACAAAAAAGTCTTTGCAAGAAAAATACAACAAAAGGTCTTCTCGGACTGAGGTATTAACTACAGCAAAAATAATGGAAAAACCACATGAGAAAACAAAACTCCACGAGGGGAGAAAACAAAACCAGAGAACAATTATAACCAAAGGAAGAAACTCAGGAAACCCTACTTGGGGTAGCTAGAGAGGCTTTAACGAGACCAGGCAGGAGACACAGGGCGAAGACTCAAAAACCGAGTGAGGAACCAAGGGAAAAATACACCACTTAAATACACTGGGGAAAACAAGGCGCAGGTGACTTGGATAACGCTAACAAGGCCACCCGAGGAAGAACTAAGGCAGAGGAAAAAACAGGGGACCTCTAGGGGCACGGAGACAAACTACAGGAGGTAGAATGCTGACAGTAACATTCTAAAATATTATTACAAATTGAAAATGTTGTATTATTTGTAACAATTGTATTATTGCAGTTGAAAATATTATGATGCCAAACTTTATTACTTCTTTTTAAGTTATTTTTATTTTTTAGCTATTTTTTTAAAGGTATTATATATACATATGTATATGATAAAGAATACTGTCAAAAACATTAATATTAAAAAATATTATTACAATTTGAAATAATTAATAATAATAATAATAATAATAATAGTATAATTATATTATATAATAATTAATAATAATAATAATAATAATAATAATAACAATAATTTGGCAAAAGCGGCTTCCAAATCTCTATACTTATCTTGCTGGATCTGTCTGCTGCTTTTGATATGGTGAACCACCAGATTCTCCTTGTTCAAGCTCTTGTTCTATTGGCAGGTCTCCCAGCCACTTCTGTCAAACCTCTAAAATTAATCCAAAATGCCGCTGCAAGATTAATTTTTAAAGAGCCAAAAAGAACGCACGTCACACCTCTGTTCGTCAATTTGCACTGGCTACCAGTAGCTGCTCGCATAAAATTCAAGGCATTAATGTTTGCCTACAAAACCACCACTGGCTCTGCACCCAACAGAGTCATGTGCCCTCTAGAAGCTTGCGTTCTGCAAGTGAATGACGCATTATTGTGCCATCTCAAAGAGGCACAAAATCACTTTCACAGACTTTTTCATTAACTGTTCCCTCCTGGTGGAATGACGATTGTATCTAAATAAACAAAACATTCACACTGGGATTAGCACTCAATGTGTTTCCATAGGGATATAAACTCAGTGCAACCAGTTTCATAATCATTCCATTTGGAAATGTAAGACTAACCAGATAACCCAGAGTTGGTCTGGCAGCACAGCATTACCTCAGCTGGCAGTCCGAGTTGGAGGAACAAATGCTCAGTCGATTAGTATTGATGGGATACATGGAGGAGAAATGCTGTGGTAACAAGGATCGACAGAAAAAGAGGGAAATGAATAATTAGTCTTATTTCCTCTTATGCTGGGGTTGAGCGTTTGGAGGTGTTTATCTGTAAGCATCTGTGAGCAGACTGAGTCTGTCTGGACGCACACACTTATGCCCCCATGCAACTCTAGTCCACCTCTGTCAATATTCCCTGTGTGTTTGAGTGCTCTGGATCTAATTGTGTGTTGATGATTAGTCTCTGCCAGTCTGAATTGATTGACTGAATACGAGCCAGACCTTTAGCTCTGAGAGACAGATAACAAGAGCTGTGAAAGAACAACTACTGCTTACAACCTTCCATATCTATCTATCTATCTATCTATCTATCTATCTATCTATCTATCTATCTGTCTGTCTGTCTGTCTGTCTGTCTGTCTATTTATCTATTGATCCATCCATCCATCCAGTATTTATATAATCAAAACTTTTATTCCTTATCATTCCTTATTATTATTTATTTAATTAATTAATTAATTAATTTTATTTATGTTACTTATTTTATTTATTTTTTAGTGTTTTTGGTGTGTAGGCAGATTTTAAAGGTTTAAAAAAGATCCAGGTCAAATATCTAAAAATATCTTGAAACTGCATGAGATGTTAAAGACAAGTGTTAAGTTTTCAGAAATTTATATTGAATATCAGTGTATTTTTTATTGTTATTTTTAACTTTTGAATGTCAACTAGTGAATAAATTCACTAATGCAGTAAGGCAAAATACACTTTAACTGGAAAACAAGTTAAGTATAAACAAAACTAGTAGAAAAATGTGCACCAAAGCCAGCATAAGCCATCCTGGAAATTTGTGCTGGTGTAAGCTGGTCTTTTTCAGCAGGGTTTCCTAATAAAGTGGCTGCTGAGTGTTTACAGCCATGTTAAACAGCAGAAGATCAGTATTGACTCCTAAATATTACCCAGCTTACCACTTAGCCGCTGCTTGCGTTGCAGTTTTACTGTAATTTTATTTTTTATTTTTTTATTATGGGTAAGATTTTGATTAGGATTTTGTAAAACTCAATATCTTTATTAGTTGTGCAGAAACATTACTCCCGCCACACACACACACAGTTCATCTGCTGGTCCTGGGAGACGCTCTTGTCAGAAAATTCTAGACAAGCTGTTTCAGCAACTTTCCAGCTGCTGCTAGAGTCTGATAGAAATGTTTTCACTAATGCTGAAAGCTGGATAGAGTACAGAGAGGGATGAGATAACTCATTTTAACCCACTGAAGCTTCAGTATTAGAACCAAAATTACGTTTATCTGAAGCTGTAACAGTAATTGCGGCTATCGGGTCTTTATGCTGTTGAACTATACAGAAAGCAGTGAACGTTGTCTCGCCCATGTGCATTACGCTGAGTGATGACCGTAATTGAAAAGCTTTTGAAAGTCTTTGTGGGAGAACACGGCTTTTCGACTTTACACTGGCTGGGTCTCACCACAAGAGAACACTGCAGAAAATGTCATTTATACGTTTTTTTGTTTTTGTTTTTTCATCAATGGGGTAAGAAAAATGAACAATGCATTAACTATATTATTAGTTAATAACATATAATGCATTAACATTTTATTTTTATTTAATTTTATTTTTTATTATTTTCAATTTGCCCTGTTTGGCAGTTTCAGTAAGATACATAAACACAGAACAGAAAACTTCTATACTAAAATAAAAATACTTGAAAAGACAAAAATAATTATTTTCATTCTCTCTTCTTCAGTAGAGAGAGACAATTTACCACAGCAAGGGAGACTGAGAAAGATAAAGAAGGAAATTCAAGATTTTGCCTCCATAATCATATTTTACACCTCAGCCCTCAAAACTGCATTAAATGTTTTGTGGTGTTTGCAGTTAGTCAGCATCAGACAATGCAGATGGATGGACTGAACCCAGTGAGCTGTGATGAAAGTGAGCAAGAACAAGTGCAGATGAGAAATGCGACCCGAGCCAGCATGAGGAATGAGAGATCTACTGTCAGCTGGAAAAAAAAAATTAATGAAAGAAAGACAGACTGTAAGTGGATGGCTGAAATGAACAAAGACAGAGCAGGGAATAAGAGGGCTTAAAGGACACAGAGAGAGATTACAAAGCACACAACTGCATTTCCAGCCTGTCTTTAATCTTTGTTGATTTAGTATGGGCGGAAACAGTAGAGAAACTCTCCTGGTTTGTTGAGGGACTTGTTTTAGGTCTCCATGAAGATTATGTGATGGTGTTTGAGGGATCGTTCTGTACAGTCCACTTATGTTGTATTTAATTTTAATTTTTTTCTCCACAGACACAAACACATTAAAGGAATAATTCACAAATTTACCTCACACTCAGGCCATCCATATTGTAGATTAATTTGTTTATTCATGGGAACAGATTTGGAGAAATGTAGCATTACATCACTTTCTCACCAATGGATCCTCTGCAGTGAATGGGTGCCGTCAGAAGGAGAGCCCAAACAGCTGATAAAAACATCACAATAATCCACAAGTAATGCACACCACTCCAGTCCATCAATTAAGGTCTTGTGTTTGTAATAAGAAAATCCATCAAGATGTTTTTTTTTACTTCAAACCATTGCTTCTGGCTAAAATATGAGTGTTCTATCCATATTTCTTTCTCCAGTGAAAAAGTCTTTTCATCTGAATCAGGAGAGAAATATGCACTGATCAAGCTGTTTACAAGCTACAAAGGTACAAAACAGTTCTAAACAATGCTCTAAACAGTTCTATGTCTGACTAATATTTTGGCCAAAACTGATGGCTGAAAGTTAAAATGCTTCATTGATGTATTTGTTTGTTATAAACATGCAGCTTTTTGCTTATCAAGGTGTAAATTTATGAACTGGAGTTGTGTGGATTACTGTGGTATTTTTATCAGCTATTTGGACTCTCATTCTGACGGCACCCATTCACTGCAGAGGATCCATTGATGATCAAGTGACATAATGCTACATTTCTCCAAATCTGATGAAGAAACAAACTCATCTACATCTTGGATGGCTTCAGGATGAGTACATTTTACAGAAAATGTTTATTTTTCGGGTGAATTCTTCCTTTGGATACATACATACCGCCCTTCAAACAACAGCACCAATAGTTTATTCTTTCTCTTTCTGCAGGTACATCAGTTTTTCAAGTCACAGCGACAGATGCAGATGACCCTACATATGGAAACAGTGCACGGGTGGTGTACAGCATTCTGCATGGACAGCCGTACTTCTCCGTCGACCCCAAATCCGGTAAATTCATGACATCTTTTCATTGTGTGTCTGTGAAAGTGAATCAATAGTGCTTTTATTGCTTGCAGGTTTAAAACTGCTGCCGCATTTCGTCAAGTAGGTGTACAATTAAAAACTATTCTCAGGAAATTTGCCTAGCTTGTCATATGAGTTGTTCATATTAGAATGTGAAGTTTGTTTCTCAGAAAACAGCTGTGGGCAATACAATACACCACCGGCACCCCTTCACTGTTCAGAAACAGAGCTTGACATGCGTGCTGTATTGTTTGGGTCTCAGCTCTATAATGGAGAGCATCCCTGGAGAATGAGGTGGAGAGAACATTGTGTAAAGGCTTTCAGGGATAAAGACAGACGGAAGGAGAGAGAACGAGATTCGGAGTGCTTCGAGATGGATTTGGTGTTCAGTAGAGGTGGACATTGTTTGAGGGTTTTTACAAGGAACCATTAAATGTTAATGGAGACACAGTTTGTTTTGTGTCAAGAAGCGAAAGTTAAGATAGCGAGAAGGACAAAGGAAAGACAGAAAGGGGAAGGAAAGAAGGATGGAAAGAATCATATAGGAAGGACAGATAAATTAGGACAGAAAGAAGAAAGGGAGAAAGGAAGAGAAAAAAAAGGAAAGAAAAAATAAGCAATGAGATATAAAAGAAAACAGGAATGAAGAAAACATAAGCAAAGAAAGGACGGAAAGATAAAGGAACAAAGAAAGAAATGAAAAAGGGGAAAGAAAGACAAAGAAAAAGGACAGAAGATACAAAGAATGAAGAAAAACACAAAGGAAATATGGAAGGAGGAAAAGAAAGAAAGAATCAAGGAGAAATATAGGAAGGAGGGACTGAAAGAGGTGAGGGAGAAAAGAAGGGTGGAAAGAAAGAAATATATTAAGGAATGAATGAGAAAGACAGAAAATAAGGAATAAAAAGAAAAAAAGAAGGGGAAATAGAAAGGAAGAAAAAGCAAAGAAAAAAGGAAAAGAAAAAAGCAAGGGAGTAATGGAAAAGAAAAGGGAAATGGAAAGACAAAGTGGAAGAAAGGGCAAATAAGTAAGGATGGAAAGAATGGAAAGAAATATAGTAATATAGTAGAGAAGGAATACAAAAGCAGGAAGAATAAAAATAAAAGGATTTGGGAAAATAGGAAGGAAGAAAATGAGGAGGAAGAAAGAAAAAGAAAACAATAAACTAAGGGAAAATGAACAAAGGAAGGATAAAAAGAAAAGGGAAAAGGAAAGACAAAGAAAAAGGGTGGAAGGTAAGATAGAGAAGGAAGGAAGGAACAAATGAACAAACAAACAAATGAAGGAAGTAATGAGAACAATAAGAATAAAGTGTCTAAATAAGAATGAAGTAATAGCAAGGCAGGAATGGAAAAAAGGTAAGACAATTAATAATGCAAAGAAAAATATAAAGAATAGGGAAGGGGAAAAGACAAAAGGAAGAAAATATAGAAAGAAAGAGGAAACTAATGAATGAAGAAAGTATGAAACCAACCACTTCCCAATAGATACAATCATGTCCTGCTCTGTGTTCATTGAATAGTCTCTCACTTGGATATGTCAGCATAAGGAGGTAAAATGGTTTGCAAACACATTGAATTTAAAGCAAAAAATATTTCCACACAACCTCTGACATTATGCATGTCAAATCTTCAAGTACTTGCAGCTGACATGCTGTTGATTTTCCTCCATTTGTCATAGAGGGACTGTGCTGACACTGTCCATGGTGCTGAAATGCTCCTTTGTCCATATCAGGTGCTGTCCATGGTTCTGAAACATCCCACACTTCACTACTTTACCTCTCTCTCACATACACAAGCACCTACAATGCATCCCGACATAGTCATGACCACAACATAATGTTTATTTTGAGAAATATAGCTAGAAAATCATAAAGAAGTTGTTCATGATAATCGCTAGATACCTCACAGCCTTAACACAGGCTCTCACAAATCTCGTCCATCAGCACTGACAGACTAGTGCTTTGATAATGCAGTCCATCCAGGATTGTAAATGTTTGGCGTTTACTAAAGACTAATGCAGCATTTTGTGGAGGAACTGTGAATAATTTTGTTTTGCACAGTTGTTAAGAGCATGCAGGCATATCAATGACTTTGGTGAGAGTCTTTAGAGATGAAAAGCTTAATGGAATTGTGGTGAGAGACAGTATCAGTTTTGCCAGACTGATATATTTTAGATGTTGTACAAGGACTTAATGCATTCAGACAGGAGACATGAGAACCGGTTGAGGGGATTGTGTGAGGAAGAGAAAAAGACCAGACATATTAGCCTTGCTTTACTACGTTTTTACGTCTTTTAGTGATATTTCACTTTCAATCTCTCACAAACTACCTTTTGGAACATTGTAGTGACAAATATCCCATTTGGACGTGTGTAAAATTAATATATTAAGTTGTGAGAGATAAAAAATGTTTTACTACATACAGCATATATATATATATAGAGAGAGAGAGAGAGAGAGAGAGAGAGAAAAATAAAATATGTTTAATAAAAATAAAAGACTACTCTAATAGTTCTCAATGTCACACATTTGATCAAATGGAAGAGTTATTGTTCAATTGTTACTGCAGGAAATTATGCTTGTCACTGACGTCTGATTTACTCTCTGACAGCTGTGAAAATTCAAAGTATGTGAGGCACAAAGATGAGAGAGTAGATGTATTAGATCGAGAAAGCATTTTGCTTTTGGCATGCACAGTATATGAAGAGTTTGTTCCAGTGCTGCTCGCTGAAACCATGACCCAGTGATGTGGGTGTATATGCAGATTCTAACATGTATTTAAAGAAGGTAATGCCAATTTTATGCATGATGCCCAAGGTCATGTTAGCAAGACTTTTTAGAGATTTTTCTTTAGTTTATCACTCCCTAATCTGCATTTTATCAAAATGTCTCTGAAACTTTTAAAATATTTTTATACAACTTTTTTACCCTTTATTAATACACAGTAACACTTTTCACAATCTAATCAGGTCCCGATTAAAAAAAATAAAGGGATAGTTCACTCAAAAATTAAATATTTGTAATTCACTCATCCATGTGCAGTGTTATTTTAATATATGTATTAATATAATATCATATATAAGCTTAAATTATATGTATTTTTATTTTGTTTTAGTGATTTTAGTACAACATATTTCAGTTAGTTGCAAAGGAAAGATTTCTATTTTTAAGTTCAGGTTTTTCATGTAATATTTTAGTATTTATTTATTTTAATTAACAAAAAATATTTTTAGTTGTTTCAGTTATAGTTAACAATAACAACACAGATTTTTTCAAACATTAATTATTTGTGTTCATCTGTGGGAAAAGATATTTTGAACATATTTTGTATATATATATATATATATATATGCTCAAATCATCTCTTGGAAATGAGATGCTATCACCTTCCACCCTTTAATGCACTGTTGAATGGCTTCACTGGTAATTGGCGGTCAAATGCTTTCTCTCAGGATGTCAGAGAACACAAATATAGACGACAAGTAGGACTAAAAACTTTAGATAAAGCACCCTAGGAGATAGAAGAGAAGCCTGCATGAATCAATTCAACCGAGAGAGCGCTAGTCAATAGTCAATCTTTCTTTGATTATATGGTATGCGCAACCATATTGTTTTGAGCTGGATAAGATGATTGTGGTCATTAGGTCAGCAGATGCACCCAGAGAGAATAACAAAGTCACGGCCAGAAAAGGACATGTAATTTAGGAGGAGAATGCTATACTAGTAATATACAGTTTAGTTTAATTTAGTTCAGCTCTAACTGGTGGCAGTTACAGAGGCACCGTAAACAGAAGTCTATGGCTTTGTGCTCAACATTCCTCTGCAATGCAGTACATAGCAGACAACTAAAAGCAATGGCTTTAGTTCTTTATTTAGTTAATTTTCATTCAAACAGAGGAGATATTAATGTCAGGTGCTGGGATTTATTCCGCCCATAAACTAGCAGTTAACAAGCATTGTGATTCTTCCTAATGAATGATTTGAATAATTAATTGGATGAAAGGCAAAAGTGAGTGGTGTTTGCTGGTGCAAAACTTACCATAATGTTTCCAGCATTGTAATGTGGTTGCTAAAGTGTTCTGAATGATTTCTTGGGTGTTTTTGGTGTTCCAGTGGTTGGAAATTTTAGTAGATATTTATTGAGATCTTCCTTACAAGTACAAGTCAATGTGATTTTTTTTTCTTTTGACCAGTTTAATCATCTGTCCATTTATTTGTAAGTAAGCATTTGTTTGTTTGTCTGTCTGTCTGGCTATTTATTTATTTATTTGTTTATTTATATGCTTATTTATTTGTTTATGTATTTATTTATTTATTTATTTGTTTGTTTGTTTGACAATTAAATAACATTAAAATGAGCTGAAGTAACACTTTTAAACTTTCTGGGGAGAAAAAGAAAATCCTGAAAAAAAAGTACCACAGTTTCCACAAAAAATAGCAATAAAACTGTAGCAGCAAAACTGTTTTCAATATTGATAATAATAACTGGTGTTCCAGCTCCAGCAGTGGTGGTTTTCTAGATATTTTCTCCTTCAGTACAAGTCAGTGTGATTTTTTTCAATCATTTTAATTATCCGTTTAATCATCTGTCCACTTATTTGTCCAAATATGTTTTTTAAATCATTTATTCAGCTTGAATGCATTCAAGTGAGCAGAAGTAACACTTTCAAACTTTCTTAAAAAAAAAAAAATACTGAAAAAATGCATCATAGTTTCCATAAAAATATTAAGCAGCTGTAAGGGAAACAGGTCAATTTAGCTCAAAGGGAATCATTTAAGATTTTAAATTAAATCTTAAATTGTCTGATTCGGTCTGATACCCTACACAGCAAAACAGTTTTCAACATAATAATAGTAATACATGTTTCTTGAACAGCATATTAGAGTGATTTCTGAAGGATCATGTGACACTGAAGGCTGGAGTAATGATGCTGAAAATTCAGCTTT